TATGAGGTAGTCAACAATTTTCCAACTAGATATAGGCCCAGTCCACTGAATAGAATTTGTGTAGTATAAATGTTCAAATGCCCATGACTGGTGAGGGTACAGTTCCTAATGGGACAGCTAAATGGACACAATATGTTCGCCAAGTTGGCCACAGATTATTGTTATTAGCTTTGTCAGAGAGGCTTCTCTTTCCTGTTGGCAATGGTAACTGCAGAGGTTCATGATTGGTCATAGTGATGGGGATAAGTGATGTCTGAATTCTCAGCTCTACATGGGACACCTATATCATTTCCTCTGTGGCTCAGGTTCAATAATGGAATAAGAAGTGGGAAGAATGTATGATCCAGAGGAAGCTGGGGAGTGGTGTGGAATGCTGACTTCTGGGTTTGCCATGGTCATTGTACTCTTAGACACACAGCACTCTGCTTACCCACAAAAGATCTATAAAAGATTGGAAGCATCAACATTCTGACTTAGCAAAAGTCATTAGGTAAGTGGGTTATGATTTCTGGAGGAGAGATAGATGTTTCCATTTGTGGTGTAACCATTGGTAAGGTGCTATGTTACAGTAGAGAACCTGTCACCCTTACTACTGTAACTCTAGTGGAACTCATTAGTCCATGAAAACCAATATCAACAAATGACATGAAAATGTGAGAAGGACTAGTTGAGAAAAAAATTGATAAGGCAAAAGAAGGGGTAATGGGGAAAAGTTATGCATAAAAATGTTATAAAGAAATCTACTACATATTATTAATATGTAGTAATAAAAAAGACAAAAGTTGCTGAAAGAAATGAACAGACAGCTCTCAAAAGATGCAATACAAGTAGCCAAGAAGCATATGAAAACAGATTCAACTTTAATTGCCATCAGGGAAATATAAACCAATGCTACATTAAGATTCCATTTCACCAAAATTGGAATGACAATCTTTAGAAACTAATAGTAACTCATAACAAGTATGTGGACAAAACATGATCCTTATAATCCTGGTGAGAACATAAACCATAGCAGATATGGACATCGGAATGAATATTTCTCAAAATAATTAAAAATAGATCTTTCAAATGACCTAGTTATACCACTGCTCGGTATTAATATAAAATATTCCATCTCAATATGTCAGAGACACTTTCGTATCTATGATTATTGCAGTGATATTCAAAGAGATAAGTTATAGAAGGAGCATAGGCACCCAAGAACAGATATGGATAAGAAAATGTTTATATATGTGGTAGTATATCTTTGGCTACCACTAGTACTACATGTGGTTAATCTCTCTTTCCATAACAGCTCTTCTTGGTTTATGGTCAGAATTCTACTCTTCTATTGCTGCCATTACTCACAAAGTTTTTCTTGCATAACTTCTTTATCTCATTTTCATGTTGACATTCTCACATTTTATACCTTCAAAATTATTTTTTTATTTTATCTTTTGAGATCCTATTTTATTATTTTTAAAACAATCTTATTTTACATACCAATCCCAGTTCCCTCATTCTCCCCTCCTCTCCCTCCTCTCCCATTCTTTCCTCTCAGAAGGTGAAGTACCACGGGGAGCCAATAAAGTCTATCACATCACTTAAGGCAGGACCAAGGTCCTCCCCACTGTATTTAGGCTGAGAAAGGTATCCCTTCCGTAGGGAATGGGCTCCAAAGAGCTAGATCATGTACTAGGGCTAAATACTTTTTTCAATAATATTGACCCCACAAACTACCCATGCCACACAATTGTCATTCACATTCAGAGAGTCTAGTTCAGTCTTAAACTGGTTCCCCAGCTGTCAGCCTGGGGTCAGTAAGCTCCCACTAGCTCAAGTCAGCTGCTTCTGTGAGTATCACTATCATTCTTGGCTCCTTTGCTCATATTATCACTCCTCCTTCTCTATGACTGGGTTACAGGTGTTTGGCTCAGTGCTTAGCTGTGGATATCTGCATCTGCTTCCATTAGTTGCTGGATGAAGGTTCTATGATGACAATTAAGGTAGTCATCAATTTGATTAAAGGGGAAGGGCAGTTTAGATACCCCTTACACTATTGCTTAGATTCTTAGCAGGAGTCATCATTGTAATTTTCTGCCAGCTCCTGCCAGTTTCCCTAGTGCCTGGTTTCTCACTAGCCACACGATGGCTCCATCTTTAAAGGTATCCCTTTCCTTGCTATCCCTCTCTGTCCTCGACTCAACTCAATCTTCCTGATCCCTCATGTTCTCCTTCATGCTTCCCTTCTGCCCTTCCCACTCCACTACCAATTCCTCTCCCTCCCCAGAGGCTTCCAATTTACTAAGGATATCTTGTCTACTTCCCTTTCCCAGGGGGATACATGTATGTCCCTCCTAGGATTCTCCTTATTTCCTGTCTTCTCTGGGGTTGTGAACTGTAGGCTGGTAATCCTTTGTTTTATGTGTAATATGTATGTTTGTCTTTCTGAGTCTGGTTTGCCTCACTCAGGATGGTTGTTTCTACTTTTATCCATTTTCCTGCAAATTCAAAATATTATTGTGTTTTACCTCTGAGTAGCACTCCATTAAGTAAATGTACCACATTTTCTTTATCAGTTCTTTGGTTGAGGGGCATCTAGGTTGTTTCTGGGTTCTGGCTATTGTAAAAAAAATACTGCTATAAACATAGCTGAGCAAATTTTCTTGTGGTATGGATCTGCATTCTATGGGTGAGAGAGACAAATACAACATGCAGAGACAGTTTGGGTATAGAGTTTATTTAGTGGGTTACAGAAGGAAGAGAAAGGACATGGCTCTTGACATAAGACAGAAACTCCAGAAACTCTGGGTTTTTCTCTTAACAACAGGCTTGGAATTAGAGAGGGACCGAGCCAAGAGTCCAACTCCAAAACCAGTTCTATAAATTCAGAAATATGATTTAGTATATTCCAGAGCTGCATACTCACAGAACCTATTCAGTTTTCTTGATAGTCCTTATTGGGTAGTTATATTTCCATCTGTCAGTATTCAAACATTCAGGGTCCCTTGAATTTTTCAAAGATGAGTGTTTTCCTGTGGAGACAAGAACAGAACCCTGCCCCCATTCCATGTTTTTCTTACCACCTGTATGGTCATCATCATTGTAGATGCTGTCATTTCTCCTTTCCAAGAGGTTTCTTCTCTTCATATCTAACCTTTATTAATTTTGATGGTATCCACAATTTTTCTTCTCCTGTGGAAACAAGAGCAAAACCCCTTCCCCAACGTAGCACATCTCCTGGCTTCCATTGAGAGGTCAGCATATCCTTGATATAAACCGGTTGATTTAGTTCAGCAGACTTTTCCATTATCCAATGTCTTTCTGCCGTTGTTGTTTCCTTCTGATTAGCGTTAAGAAAATTCAAGGTTAATAAGGCATTATGTAATCGATTTCTGGGGGCATTTTCCACCCCTTTCTGTTTATTTAATATATCCTTTATAGTTCGATTTGATCTTTCTATGACTGCTTGACCTGTAGGATTGTATGGTATACCTGTAACATGCTTAATATTATAATAAGCAAAAAACCATTTCATTTTCCTAGAGACATAAGCTGGACCATTATCTGTTTTTATTTGTGCAGGTATACCCATAATGGCCATAACTTCTAATAAATGTGTGATTACTGAGTCAGCTTTTTCTGAGCTTAAAGCCGTTGACCACTGAAAGCCTCAATAAGTGTCAATGGTGTGATGTGCATATTTTAATTTTCCAAATTCTGCAAAGTGGAACACATCCATCTGCCAGATTTCATTCCTTTGAGTGCCCTTCGGGTTAGTACCTGCAGGTAGTGGTGTTTGGTTATATAAAGAACAAGTAGGGCATCTCTTTACAATCTCCTTAGCTTGTTGCCATGTAATGGAAAACTCTTTCTTTAAACCTTTGCTATTGACGTGATGTTTTTTATGAAATTCTGAGGGCTACAACATGCTTCCAATCAATAATTGATCAATTTCTGTATTACCTTGTGCTAAAGGACCTGGAAGACTCGTATGGGACCAGATGTGTGTTATGTACATCGGACAAAGCCTATTCCTGATTATGTCTTATACCTGGATAAACAATGAAGTTAACTCTGTATCATCTGGTATAAATTCAGCAGTTTCAATATGCAAGATAACTCTTTCTGCATATTGTGAATCTGTAACAATATTAAAAGGTTCTTTAAAATCCCTTAGCACCATAAGAATGGCATATAATTATGCCTTCTGGACAGAAGTATAAGGGCTTTCTTTGTTCCACCTTACTCAATTCATCTGATTTGTAACCAGCCTTCGCTGATTTACTAGCATCAGTATAAAATGTACAGGCTCCAGTTATTGGAGCATCACATACAATTCGAGGAAGAATCCAAGAAGTTTTCTTCATAAGGTTAAGTCTACCACTTTTTGGATAGTTGCAATTAATTTCTCCCAAAAAATTAGCACAAGCCCTTTGCCATGGTTAATTGTCTTCCCATAGCTTTTTTATTTCATCAGTAGTGAAAGGCACTATAATTTCTGCTGGGTCTATACCTGCTAGTTGACAAAGTCTCAGTTTACCTTTTATAATTAATTCAGAGACCTTTTCTACATAAGTTTTCACTTTTTTACTTGGTTTGTGTGGTAAAAAGATCCATTCGAAAATAGCATCTTCCCTATTAAAATTCCCATAGTAGAAATTCTGGAAGGCAATATGACTAGAATGCAACTAAGATTTGGATCCACCCTATCTACATGTGCCTTCTGTAATTTTTCCTCAACCATCATCAGTTCCTTTTCTGCTTCAGCTGTTAATTCTCTGGGAATATTCAAATCTTTGTCACCATCTAAGGTTTTGTTTAAATGAATTATTAGATCAGGTGTTATCCCAACAGCTGGTCATAGACTGGAAATGTCTCCTAACAATCTCTGAAAATCATTAAGAGTCCATAACTGGTCTCTCCTAATTTGTGCCTTTTGTGTATTAATTTTCTGTAAACCTATTCTGTAACCTAGGTAATTTTTTTTTTTGGGTAGCATGAAGGTTTATTGGGGCATCCTAGTACAGATGCTGGGGCTTGCCCATGGTGCTCTTGATGTACAAAGCCCAGACATTTTGCCAGTTCTTCCTGAGTAAGGACATCAAGAAATTGTCAGCCAAGTGGATGTTGTGGACCAGCTCGTCATCAGTCATCTTCACATGGCCGACAGCGACAGCCAGACACAGCACCTTCTTCATCTGGAACTTGATGGTGGACTTCACCTCCTCCACTTTGGCCACCATGTTTTCATTGTGTGTCAGCAGGGAAGGGAACTTGCCAGCCTTGTTCAGTCCTGGGCCCAGGATACGTGGGATCTGCTTGATCAGAGACTCAGAGGCCAGAAAGGCGTCATACTTCTTGGCCAGCTTTTTGACCAACTTCTTGTTTTTATTAAGCTTCTTCAGTGCCTTGATATCCATGTGGGGGATATCCACGGCCTTGGCTTCATCGCAGTGCTGCTGGTCCCCCAGGACACACATCAAGAACTTGGGGCGAGGGGTGGACTTAAGCCTGATGGTGTCCGAGAAACGCTTGTCCTTCTGGGGGTCATAGTTCTTCAGGCTGATCTGTAGCTCCACAGTTTCCAGAAACTTGTGGTGCTTGCGCTGGTTCCCAGGCAGGACCTCCCGCACCGCCTCGTGCAGGGTGTCGCGAGAGACTTTGCTGCTCATTGCTGCAGAGGTTTCAGGAACCGGAAGGAAGAGAACAGAGCTGTAACCTAGGTAATTAACAGAATCTCCTCTTTGAATCTTTTTGGGAGCAATTTGTAATCCCCATTTAGGCAAAATTATCTTTACTTCCTCAAACATTCTTTCTAAATTATCTATGTTTGAATTGGATAGCAAAATGTCATCCATGTAATGGTATATTATAGATTTAGGGAATTGCTTATGTATTATTTCCAAAGGCTGACTTACAAAGTATTGACACAGACTGGGGCTATTGAGCATTCCCTGTGGGAGGATAGTCCACTGGTATCTCCTAGTAGGCTGGGAGTTATTATAAGTGGGCACTGTGAAGGCAAATTTTTCTCTATCCTTTTCTTGTTATGGTATGGTAAAGAAGCAAATCTTCAAGTCAATAACTATAAGAGGCCATCCTTTGAGTAACAGAGAAGGCAGAGGAAGTCCAGACTGTAGAGGGCCCATAGGTTGAATTACCTTGTTGACAGCCCTTAGATCTGTCACCATTCTCCATTTGCCAGATTTCTTTTTTACAACAAACACAGAAGAATTCCAAGGGCTAGTGGACTCCTCAATATGTCGAATATCTAATTGCTCCTGTACCAATTGTTCTAAAACCTGCAATTTATCTTCAGCTAAAGGCCATTGTTTAACCCATATTGACTTTTCAGTTAGCCATTTTAAAGGTAGGGCTGTAGGTACCTCTAAAAATTTGTTAGTTGTTTTATGTTCTTGTACAGCCTGAATGGCTGGTGACCTTTATGCATAGTACTTTATTACATCCTTCCCAGAATCATGACTTCCTGAGACTGCAGGAATGTTAATCTGGGTATTTCATTGTTGTAGCAGGTCACGGCCCCATAAATTTATTGCAATATCAGCTACATATGGCCTTAACGTTCCTCTTTGACCCTCTGGCCCAATACAGTGAACCCATCTCGTGCTTTGTTTAACTTGAGATATGGTTCCAATTCCTAGTAATTGAACATCTGCCTCTTGAAGAGGTCAATTTGGATGCCAAGATTCTGGAGTGATGATACTCACATCTGCTCCTGTGTCTATCAAGCCAACCATCACAATTCCATTTATATGTACTCTCAGCTTTGGTCTCTGATCATTTATAGAAGTTTGCCAAAATACACGTTTATTTCCTAATTGAATTTCTGACTTATCCTCCAAATTTGTATCATTTAGAGCCTCATGATCTTGTACAGAAGCTTCTAGAGTTTTTAATTTTCCTGGTGTGACATGTCCTCCACAGTTACTGGGAATGACTGGGCCACTTTTGGCTTGGGGGCCTGCGAGAGGCCCCTCAGGGAGTTTCCCGATGGTATCGGGTTGCCTTGTCTGTCTGTTGTTGATCTGCATTCATTCGTCCAATGTCTTCCTTTACCACACCTCCTACATAAACCTGAAGGCCGAGGTTTCCTATTCCTGTCATTCCCAGATGAAGTGTTATTCCTAGAAATATCTTGCCTGCAATCCCTTTTTAGATGTCCAAATTTACCACAATTAAAACATTTGGCAGGTTGATGTCCCCTCATCACTTTGGAAATCGCTTCTCCTACCCAAGATTCGTCATCGTAATTAAAGGTCTGAAAATTCATGGTATGCTGGATCCATTAATCCATAGGTGCTGATCTAGACCTTAAAGGCCCAATTATCTTTTTGCAGTCTAAGTTTGCATTTTCAAAAGCCAGTGATTCAAGAATTAGTCGTCTAGCTTCTGGGTCTGTTATTCCTGTTTTCAGAACCTTAATTAATCTTTGCAAAAAGTCAGTATAGGGTTCTCCCTGTCCCTGCCTAACCCTAGTATATGACTCTACTTTTCTTCCTGGCTCTGGTAATCTACCCCAGGCATTTAAAGCTGCCTTGTGGGATAGAGACAATACTTCATCATCATAAAGAGCTTGGACCTGTGGATCAGTGTAAGCTCCTATTTGATCCTATTTGTAAGCCAAGAATTTGATCCTGTGAAACCTCCACACCTTTTGCTCTTCCTTGCTGTTCCATATGTTTGTATTCTTCCTTGAAATAAACTCCAAACATCAAGGAAGGTCCATCTTTGAGGACTGCTGAAGCTAACTGTGAGAAATCGTGGGGGATAGCCCTGACATTAGAATCCCAAATCCTTATTATTTCCTTAACAAATGTAGAGTGCAAGCCATAATTAACAACATCTTGCTTAATTTCCTTTAGGTCATTAATTCCTACTGGTATCCATCTAGATTCTTTGGCTCCCTTTGAGCCTTTAGAAGTTGATGCTTTGTCAGAATAAATTACAGGGTATGTCGCTAAAACCCTGGGTAAGCCAGTTCTAACAGGTGGTGGTGGCATTGTATCCTGCCCTTGTGTCTTCTCACCTGGATCATCAGTTCCAATAATTTTTTCAACCATTTCAAATCTTTGTATCATCGTCTCTCTTAAATCCGGAATCTCCTGACCTGCATGTGTTTCTAGTGATTTCACTAATGTATCAATTTTTTGGTCCCCATTCTGCACTTGTGATTCCAAGGTCTTAATGGTTTCTTTCAAAGATAACATATCCTCCTTGAACTGCCCCTGGATATCATGTAAATTGCCATCCTGGAGGTATATTCTGTCTGTTATCTTATCAACACTCTGTGATAACTTTTCAAAGTCAAATTCAACAGCTTGGATCCTTTCAGGTAATTTCCTAGTACCCTTAGATAAGGAGTCAATTTTGCCTATCATAATATTAATCCTATCAATTAATGCCACATATTTCCACAATGATATAACATTAAGAAGGAAGCTAAAACCTAATAACCAGTAAATTGAGGTACCTCCATAGGCATATAGGCCACTTGTGATTTCTACCAAAGTGGCAGCAAAAGCTGCAGCTAGAGTCCCATTAGAAACTAAACCTGCCATTTTACCTGTCAGCCACCAGATGGGGATGTCTCCGAGTCACAACTGGAACCACTGTAGGCCTCACGACAAATCCTGTTTTAAAATCTGCTCTGTTATCTGTTTAAAAACTGGGGAAAATGAGTCAATTGAGAGGTCAGATGTACACACAGAGAAAATCCAGAGACCAGGCACAGAACACAAAAGGTCAGAGAGCTTCTAGTGGCCAATAAACAAGGCAGCCTGGCCTACCCAGGCCGGGCTCTCCTGCCCTGCTCCTCTGTTCAACCCAATGAAGAGGGTCGTGACACAGCCACTGTGCTGTTGCTAAAGAGGCCTAGTGCTTTGGGCCCCGTGTCCCTGTGCTGGGATTAAGGATTAAGTTGCTTGCAGCGATCCCAATCAGTTATAGTGGATGGCGGGAATTTCAAACAGCGTTGCTGGAACTTCAAAGGGAGCTTGCGCTGTGAGCTCTGTGACTCACGTTACAAGGGAAAAGTTAAAAATCCATGCAGAACAGATCAAAGTAGGCCGGCAGAGATTGCCCGAACTTGTGTATCCCGGGAGGTGTGGAGGTTATGGCTGAGGGAGGGCTCATGCCAAGTCGAGCTGGTGGCAGGCAGTCAAGCCAGAGGCCCGCAGCTGAGCCAGGGGATGGGGAGTGTGGGGTGGTTCTTAAACCAAACGCTGGGCGCCAAATAATGGCGAATCAATCCCACACCAGTTAGGTTTTAAAGGGGGTACTTATTTTGGGGGGTAAAACTTACATACACACAAACCATCAGGAAAGGAGCCTAGTCGCTGGAGCAGGAGCCGGAACCAAGCATTGGAATCAAGGGGCAGAGTTGAGACTTGCTGCTTTTTTTTAAAGAGAAATATACCACGCCCCAGTGGGCTGGTATTTCAGCGGTTATTAGCTGAAGGAGAAGAAGGTACTCCCGCAGCAGAGAGAGAGAGAGAGAGAGAGAGAGAGAGAGAGAGAGAGAGAGAGA